CCTTTAACCTGGCCAGAATTTATGGCTATTTCCCCCAAAACGCCCAAGCCCAGAGCTCGTCACCTGGTTCCCGTTTGGGGATCCTCGTGCTGGCGGGGCTCTGGTGGAGCAACGAGCTGGACACCAGTGCTGATCTCCTGTGATGGGATTACGGGATTGAGGCTGGGATTTGTCCGACTAAAGCCATTTTAAGTTACTTAAACAGATAAAGCCTACTATCACATTTCTTCTTTATTGGTTACACTTTCTGAAATGCAGAAACAAACCCAACCCAAAACCTCGCTTCTTTCTCCACGTTTTTAATGGCATACAACAGCTAGTTCTGCGTTATCCTAAGGTGTATGTAGGAAGGGCAACAGAAATAACTCTGAGGGGAAATAGTGTTCCTTTTCCGTAAAATAAATGTAAAATACTTTTGCTTTTTTATTTCCTCTGAGCCCATTTCCAGTCTTTATTTAACCCCACCCGCTCCCTGGAATCTGTGTTCCTGTTATAAAGGGAAATACTTGTGTTGCCTCTTGTCCCAAGTTGTAATTCACATCTTCTCATCCCATGTTTCCAGCAACGTGACCTATCAAACCAAGAATATGTTCAAAGCACCTTTTTTTTCTTGGTGGGTCTTTTCTCCCCTGGAGTTTATTCAGGTTTGTCGGCGGGGCTGAGGGGAGTCACCTCGCGTGGGTCGTTGCCTGTCACAGCTGGGAGGCAGATCAGCTGCTGGGCTTAGCAGTACAGACCAGTAACAAGTACTCACCAGAGGTGTCTTCACCGATCAAAGCATTCTTTTGTAGTAACTATAGTAACAATATACAAAATGGAATCGAGCCTTTGGACAGTGCTATTTCAATGGGGGTCTTCAGAAAAACCACTTCCTCTGGGAGGAAAGAGAAACTGCACAATAGCCCCTTCAGAAGAGCTACAATGCCTTACAGATACTTTATGAAAATATATTAGAATGAACTGCAAATTGAGCAAGTAGCCAAGAAGCTTGAACCGACCAAAACATGCAGTGATGAAAGTCTCCAAGGACTTGTGGCTTGCTGGCACTGGCGAGTGGCTCAGCTAAATAGAAATCAGAAGGTGCAGTTACCAACTGCAAATGAATTATTGTAATCGAGAAAGAAAATGCGAGGAAGAGCTCTGAAAATCATGTTTGACAGTGACAACACAGACCAGAGAGCTTTTGTTTTAAGCAGCAGGTTGTGGGGAACTCCTGCCGTACAGCACCGGGGAGGAGGGGGAACTGCTGCTGTCCGTGCAGATGCTCTCACTTGGAAAGCAGCCGGAGGGAACAGGAGATGAAAGAAGGCTGTCCAACTTTGAAAAAGGTTAACTTTTTCCATCTGTCTTGACAAGTAAATCCAGTTTTTGTAGTAGTTTCTGGTTTTCATCCTGACAGAAGATTCAGCATCTACACACCTGACCTAAAGCAATGGACACCTGAAGGTACACAGGCAAGGCCTTAGAACGGTGCTCGACAGTATCATAAAAACATTATTTGGGTTTTCTTAATCTTAATGCTTTTATATGGCAGGAGGGGAGCAAGGCCCAGGTGCTGGGAATGCTGTAAGTGCTCCAGCCGTGGAGCGGGCTGTCCGCTCTCGCAGGCAAGGTGCGGTATTGGAACGCCAGGCTGAGGTCTGGGATGCCTACAGGAAACCTCTGCTCTAGAAAAGGGGTTTTATTAAACGAAGCAAGACAGGATTACTGAGCTCAGGAGGGTGATTTGTGAGTAACTCCCAGCTAAAGTGACTAAGGGCTGCAGCCACTAGCCCCCCAACAAGAGCATGGAGAACACCCTGCTCATCACCGCGGCTGGCTTTTTGTTCAGGGAGCACGAGGTGAGCGTTGACTCGTGTGTTGGTTTTGGTCCTTTGCCCTTGTGGATACTTTTAATAATGCGTAATACTTGAAAGAACTCCAAAATATGTTTGGGGTTTTTTTTTTCTTTTCCTTGAACTATGAGGTTAAAGATAAATAAAGTATTTTGATATGGCTAGAAAATACCTGTGATAACAGACACAATAACACTTCCTAACACTCTGGGGACTCGTAATGTGTGTTTTACAGCACACCACAGTTCTTGGTAACAAGACCCCCATCCTATATTTTCTTTTTTAATGGAAGGTAAAGCACTCCTTCACTTTAAAAAAAATCAGCTCCTTAAGAAATGTGCACATCTTCAGCAGAAGCTTTGGTATTTGTGTCTGGTTTGAGGTTTTGTTTCTTTGATTCTAAGCTGCTATGATACCTGCCAGAAACACACCGCTGGGGTGAATGTTTTGATGGGTCTAAATTGCCAAAAGGTCCCTCTGCAAAGGAATATGCACAGAGGAAAGCTGGGCTCCAGCACAGATGAGCTGCTCTCACAGAATTCCATAGTACGAGATGAACAAAGACACGGACGACCCCAAAGTCATAGGGGTCTGACTTCAGAGTCCTTCAGATCCCAACAGGAAGAGGTTTGGACACACATGGTGGCACATTTATTCCCAAGTTTATTCACAGAAAGATTCTGAGTTCCTTGAAGTTCCCCAGGTCCTGCAGGTGTCATGCTCATAGATATATATATAAAAAAAACTACCGCTAAACCACCTGACAGAGATGACAACTTGAGAAATTAAGGGCAGGTGACCGCGCTGTCACATTGGGTGGCTGGAGGATGCTGGGCAGCCAAAGAGGTGAGAAACGGTGACCAGAGTGTGCTGTGAAAACTGCCAGAGCCGTGAGGAATCCAGGGACATGCTGGTGGCACTTCCTTTACAGCCCATGTCCCACCCTGTGCTGAAACTTCACAGCCCTTGGGAGATCAGTACATTTATTTCCTGCCTCCCTTTTTTTCTGTTAAATGCATGTTTTGAGGGAAAAGATGCTCTCAGCCTTCGTCATCATCAAGAAAAACTGTGTGTATTAATTTTGTACTCGAGGTATCAGCCTTTTCTTCAGGGTTGTCAATACCATTTCTTGTCAGAGTAAATACACCACATTACAATACCTTTTGAGGAAAAATGCTATCACTTGCGGCACCAAGGGATCAAACAAAAACTCTAAGTTAATTATGCCTTTTGAGCCTGGAATCAAAGAGTCACCTGATGGCAACTTCCAGATGACAGATCTGAAAAGTGAGGGGTTTCTGGTTTGTTTTTTTAAATACATTTTTTAATGCTCAAAATTAAGCAGAAGACACATATTTATTCCACTCCTTTAATGTATTTTATTCAACTGTTAACGCTTGGGTAACTTTAATGCTGAGGGGGAACATCCAGCAGCATCTCCCCGACTGACACAGGGGAGATCCCACAGCCCTTCTACAGCCTTAGCCCAGGTTTGCCTTCTCGTCCCCTTCCCCAAGGGACAGTGGTGCAAGATCAGAGCTGGTCAGTCAGGAAATAGCTCAGAGTTACGTTGACAGTAACTGGTTTGTTAAGGTGTGTCCCCGAAAGAATTAAAGCATGTAAAATAATGCCTGTGGATGAACACTGTGGGCCAAGGTGGCCAACGCAGCCCAGAACTTAGACACCGACTCCTCTTCTTACACGGGTTTTAAATTTGTTTCGTATTCAGTAAACATACATCCCAAACTGTGCCTCTGAAACAGCCACTCACCATCTGACTCAGCCTTGTCAGAAACACAGTCTCTTTAAGTACCTCTGTACAATTTATACAGTGAGAAACTGGAATGAGAAGAACCCAAACCCAACCCTTTTCCTGAGCATGGACAAAAGATCATTTTTTTTTTAAAGGTTTTTATTTGTTTTTAAGTAGCTTGATAAAGCCCATCAATTGGTATTCAGAGTTCAATTGTAAACAGTTACAATACATTACTGCTGCGCATTGATTTTGTGTATTAACCTAGGTGCAGTGACAGCCCATAACACAACTCACAGCATATTTATCAACTGAAATGCACTGTACTACGGAAAAACGGTGCCGGGACTGAAGCGATTTGAAAGAGCAATGTGTAACTCCCTCCTGTGGTGTAAGCGAGCAGCATCACAACCAGCAGCTGCTGCAGGCTCAGACAGCACTCCCCGTTATCCAAAAATCTGTATTCTCCTCATTAGGACAACAGGCTTCAAGTTTACCATGGAAACTCCTCTCATAAGTTAAAAAGTAAGTTTCTAAAATACATACAAAGTTGTAAACATCTTTCCCTGGAACAAACAAAAATGGTTTGTGCCAGCCTTCGCCATCTCCCACCTTGCAATTAAAAAAAAAAAAAAAAAAATTAGGGCCAGAGACCCAGGCTGAAGACAAAAAGGTGCAGTGACAGCCCATAACACAACTCACAGCATATTTATCAACTGAAATGCACTGTACTACGGAAAAACGGTGCCGGGACTGAAGCGATTTGAAAGAGCAATGTGTAACTCCCTCCTGTGGTGTAAGCGAGCAGCATCACAACCAGCAGCTGCTGCAGGCTCAGACAGCACTCCCCGTTATCCAAAAATCTGTATTCTCCTCATTAGGACAACAGGCTTCAAGTTTACCATGGAAACTCCTCTCATAAGTTAAAAAGTAAGTTTCTAAAATACATACAAAGTTGTAAACATCTTTCCCTGGAACAAACAAAAATGGTTTGTGCCAGCCTTCGCCATCTCCCACCTTGCAATTAAAAAAAAAAAAAAAAAATTAGGGCCAGAGACCCAGGCTGTAGAGTACAACTGTCCTTCCCCCGGGTGTCAGCACTTACAGTCTGTGTCAGTCCCCGCAGGGAGCAGGAAAGTTCAGGGACACCCATCAGCCTCAGGTGCCAAATCGGGCACCAGGCATTACACGTACCTGTTTTTAAGAACAGAAGTTTAAATTGCATACAGGTATTTTTATAGATGATCGTAGGTAAAATTGACTACAACCAGAAAATTAAAGAACACCGATACTTTTACAAGTCTAAATTGGAACCATTTTTGTTATCGGGTTTATATGGATCTTCCAGAAAGGAAGAAGAGAAGAGATTTGCAAACCAGACTACAGTATTGAGATCACAGAAATAAAGTGGATCTTTTCAAGGCAGATTTTATTTCTGGAAGTTCCTCTGGCCATTTTCTAAAATACTTCAGCTTTTAAACTGATTTCATCCATTGAATGCAACAATGAAGTAACCATCTACTTGGTCCAAGTCTTGTATCACCAATTCCCAAAAGACTTGGGTAACTGAGATTCTGGAAGGAACCACGGGATTAATGGCAAGGGATTTACTTAGTGCGTGTTCCAGCAGCTCCACACTGTTCCTGTTCTCACCCCGTCCACAGGCTGGTGTCTGTCTCCTTGTGCTCAAGTGTGTGAGCTAATCATCAATAGTAACAATTTCATAGGCAACAAGCTGTTTATTCCAAAGTTCTATCAAATGCAGCTCCTCCCTGTGGATTAGAGGCTTTTAGTCTGAGATATCAAAAAGGGGATTCACTACAAATATTTTTAAGAAAATCCTAAAAAGTTTTTTGCCCAGTTACTGACTGCGCATCACAGAAACAAGTGTCAGCACACATTTTATTCCATGCACTCTTAAAAAAAGAAGGTTTCAAAATATTAAGAGTATTCATGTGAATTTTTCAGTTATGCTAATGACTTAGGAGCCTAAAGAGCACTGAAGTGACTGTGACTGTAACTGCTTCTCAGGCTTTGCCCTCGATGTAGGGGATACACCCCACGTTCTGGCTGCGGTTCCCAGCCGACAGAGGTACCACAGGTTTGAATTCTGTCAGATACACGGCTTGTCTCACAGCCCCATGACGGACTATGGACACACACAGCGCTGCGTGGCTCGGTCAATTTGTTATGCATAATTAAATACAGGGGAGCATCACCACATGCTTATGCTGAGCAGCGATGGGGAGGGAAGACAAGGAACATACAGACAAGATCAGGCCACAAATCCAAAAGAAACAACTTGATCAGAGATAAAACATCAGGAGACTAGGTACAGGCTCGCCTCATCCACAATGACAGCGTGTCTATCTGTAAGGAGGGATAAGGGAGGAGAAAAGGAGGAAAAAAGCAAACTTTGGCAAAGTTAAAGAAAGTGCAGTCTTTACAGTCCTGAAAAAGCCAACAAAACATACAAAAAAAAATCCCAAACAAAACAAAAAAACCCTAACAACCCAACACTGAAAAAGCAAAAGGCTCAAAACTGTCCTGGTGCCAGGCAGGTGCCCACAGGTGATCTCGAGGTGGCAGCGGGTCACACCAGAGGGGAAGGACCACACCGTCCCCCTGCGCTTCACAGCCGGTGTCGGAAGCACCCCAACACCACACCCAGACACAGCACCTGCTGCAGGCCAGCTAAAAGTGTATTTTCTTTTTCAGAGCAGTACACCATACAGTAAACTTCCACTGCAGTGTACATTTATGGGAAACCACTAGACAGTTCTCTAAATATTGAGTGTTTTCTTTCTTACTTTGTTTTCTAATGGCAGAAACAGAACTCTTTGCTATCTGGTGCAGGAAGGACCTGACAATGATCAGTGAAATTTTAGAAAGTGTGAGTTGTTCAGTAGCACCCTGACATTCTGCTCAGAAATCCCTCTTGCCAACAGCAGCAGAACAGCAAGAGGAGAGAGGAACTGGAAATAAGGCAGCAACTGCCGGTTCAGGATAAAGGTCCCTTACCCTACTGAAAATGTTATTCTTCTGCACTGTGATAATCTCTGTCTCAGCCCGAACAGTACATCTACTCAGGGAAGCAGTTTCCACGTCTGACTAAAGCACAGAACCTGACACGAGCCGGTTCTGGGCTGGGACACCTTCCCTCTTTGAGGTGAGTCGAGAGAAGAGTGGCCTGAGGCAGACAGCGTCTGGTTTCTGTGGTTCTCAGGATGGCAGTCCCTGCCTCACCGCTCCCCACACCCAGCAAAGCCACAGGAGCGTGGTCCCCACCAGCCCCACACTCCCATTGGTGCCAGAACAGCACATTCAGCTTACAGCCTCCACGTGCCTAAAGTGCAGTGCATTATGTGAGATCTGAACACACCAAACTATCCTTTATTTGAATTTCAGAAGGAATGTTCAAGTTAGAAAGTTACCTTTTAGGTTTTAAGCAACAAAATCCAAGGCAAAGTACATAAACTATCTTAAAATGGATTAAATCCACTCACTTAAGACATATTCTTTATATCTTATGTTCAATATACATATAATACATAAAAAACTTCCATCATTTCACTTAGCTGTACTGTATATTTAAAGTGATGCTGTAGCACGTGACTGAAGGCCGCTCACTCACAGCAAGTTTTGCTTAGAGCAGGGCTGTGATACAGAAGCATCCTGAGATGCCCCTGCTCAGGCTTCTCGCCAACAGCCAGCCATGGGCACTGTGCTGCACGCGTGCTTCACTTCCAGTTTACAGGGGGTTCTTCTCACGTTTCCCTTTCCACCCTCTTTTTTTTTTCCCCTTAAAATCACCACGGAGCACAGATGTGTTAAGAACTGGACTAACGCACTGATGCCTGTAGCTGCTCCTGCCTGTCACCCTGGCAGCGGCACCTGCGAGGTTGTGCTGGAGGTGACTGTGGTTCCCCAAGGACAGCAGAGACCCTCCAGTCACACAGAGCAGCTCCCGGGTACTCCGTGTGGGCACCACGCTGCCCACCGCCTCGTTACCTGGGAAGCCCAAGCACTCGGGTGTGGATGCAGGACTGGGTTTGTGTGTGGCTCACCCTACAGGAAAGGAGGGTTTCTTTACCCATGGAGCTCGTTACAGCCAGCAAGATGCAGTTGCACAATGTTTTCTTTAGCACTGAAGCCAGCTGAAACAGGCTCCAGCCCCTCCCCACCTTCATTCCTCTACTCTCAGCTCTCCTGAGTGTTTTTTGGTTCAAGCTGTATGCAAACACCACAACTCAAATAAAGCATGGACTTTTGGAGAAGTGTCCTGATTTCTGGTGTTTCAGATACACATCACTTCAGCAACCTTGACCCCCAAACACTCCTGTTAACACCACTACAAGGTGGGGTAAAAAGCAGCAGTGGAGATGGGAGAGAATAGTAGGAATGGTTTCATTAAGAGGATGCTGTTGTAAGTAATTATTTTGACAGCAACATGTAAACCATCATAATTTTAAGGGTTTTGATAATTTTGTGACAGGTAATCAGATGGTCAAAAGTCTGGAAATTAAACAATAAAAGTACACACCAGAGAAAAAGTTATTTTCTAAATTAAAGTAAATAGCTTTTTATCTCTTCTAACATCCAGAAGAAATAGCTAACCAATGGGGACAATATAAACGTAACATATCGTTTAACATAAGTAGTAGTGTATCTTACTTTCAGCACTCTAAGTTAAAAAAATTCCAGCATTTCTCCCCATAACACTGATAACCAGCAGCTCATCGTCATAATCCAGGACTTGTCTACACGTGTGTGCTGTAACACCCAAATTAACACCACATTAGAACCTCGGCCAGCTTCCCAGCCAAGTTCATTTCAAACTAAATGCAACCGTGAAACAAGCTGGCAACCAAAAAGGGTACTCGCTGCGTGAACCAGGGCATGACTCCACTGCACCCTAAGGGCAAGCTGAAAAGGCAGCCCACCCCCTGCCAGTTCCTCCCACCCCCTGCCAGTTCCTCGCTCTCCGGTGAGCCCCTCCTTGGGAATTCTGGACCCCGAGTTGGAGCTCTGACCTACGGCGTGATGAGCTTCTCCCCCTGAATGCCCAGGGGAGCACCTTCCTGCAAATCCCTGCTGGCAGCAGCTCTGCCCATTCCACCCTGCGTGCTCTGCTCACTGCCAAACCCCGGTGCCGCTGGTCTGTCCCGAAGCCAAAGTCAACAGGCCCAGAAATGATTACTATGCTTCAGCAATATCACTTTTTCAAGGAAAGAAAACATTCTTTTAGAAAATTGTTTCTAGTGTCTACTGTAGCACAATATAACTCACGAGACATTGGTTAAATTAGAGTAGTGCCATCCTGGAAAAGGACCACTGCTGAGAATTACACTGCACTGGAGACCACTCTCCTAACAGCTGTACAGTTCCAAACGTTTTAAGGACCGACACGTTGGTTACTGTTGGATTTGGAGCAGGAACTCAATGCTACGAGAAACGGTGTCACTGGAAATGGCTGTAAACAACAGGCAGGACACACACCTAATACAAACCCAAGGAGAACAAAGGACCTGTGCTAAACAATCACACTGAGCTCTAGTCTAGTGCTAACAGCAAACCTGCACAAGTCCCAAAGAGTGTTGAGATAAAGAAATTCTTTCCACTCAGATGCAGATATTCCTTGCAAAAAAGTCCTTATTATTCCAACAGCCAGTTTTACTAGCAATTACACAAGTATAATTTTTACTTTAGCTGTCTACTTCTCACTAAAACCTGAACTGTAACCTTGTCTCTCTTATGTAGTCAATTAGCTTTCTAATAATGTTAAAAATAGTAATTATTAAAATCTTAGTACTCTTTTACCTTCACTACTGCATACCAAAGACCTGCTAGTGCAAAAGCTAGAAGAGAAGTTACTAGCTGTATGAGGTGAAAACTGTTAGTCACATATTGTATATTTGAAAGCATTTTCCCGTATCCAAGTGTTTGTTCTGAAGACACAAGGTTTAAACAACAGAGAAAAAAACATGGTTTCTGGTTGTTTAAGAGTCCCAAAGCGTATTCATGCAGGGAGGCAACAGGAACAAAACAGAGATCAGGAAGTCCACCAAGCTCCAGCTCTTTAAGACACGCAAGCTGCAATTCATTCTCTTTGCTGCTGCCCATTTCTAATTCCAGAAACTGCAGTTTTTTATCGTACCATGAATTTCCCAGCCAGAAGTGTGCAAAAAATACAAAGTTGTCTCCTGGACAGCGTGAGCTAAAGTCTCCAGCGAAACTACAGGCTTCCTCCAGCCAGGCCATGACTGAAATACTGTAACTGCAGGGAGAAACCCCATCGAGACTGTCTCTCCCAGAAGAAAAATGCAGATGAAATGAATCCTTCCCCAGAGCAGCTGCACTCGAGTTCCTCCCTGCTGATTCACTCACACTCAGAGCCATTTCCTTGCCAGCAGAAGGCAGAGGTATAGTATTAAAGAGAGAACAATTCCTGCTGTTAAAATAAAATAATTCCTTTTGTAAACTGCTACTACAATTTTGAGAATTGTTCAACAGGGAATGTGTGCGTGTCAGGTGAGCTGCTGCCTTGTGATGATCTGGGTCACTGTCACATACTCGTTTCTGGTTTAAATCTTCTCTCTTCATAGTCCCGGAGAAGAGGAGCATGGCCTTGCTGCTTCCCCACAGGCTGAATCTGCAGAGTGTGACTGACCCCAGTTGCAGCACACAGGGCAAGCAGCACACCAGTCACAACTCAGTGGATCTCAATATGGACCTAAAGAGAAAGAATGCAGAATGTTATTACACTAGTATCCTGGTTTCTTGGTGCCCAGTACACAGAAAAACAAACAAAAAATATTTAACATAAAGAAAAGGAACAACCCAACTGCCAGGAGTAACAGTGGTCCAAACAGACAAGGCTCCCTGCAGGCTGCCTGAGCACATCCAAAGGGGTAGGAAATACACCCAAACATAAACTTCCTCTCTAGTTTCAGTTTAATCTGCTACAAACTCTCCTTCAGTAACAGCTGTCAAAGTGAGTCAGCAAGCGAGCACCTGGAGGGATCCGCAGGGTAACAGTACGCCTTTCCCTAACCAACATAGATGTGGGCTGTAACTGATCACAGGCTCAACGTTACATCAAACACTAAAGCAACGTCCCGTACACAGGCGTGTGCTGAAATCAGACACGCGCCACTGGAAACCCGCAGCGCAGGGCACGGGGCCTCCCAAAGGGGACTGCCCCCCCCGGCACAGGCAGAGGGCACCGGCTGTCCCGCAGCCAGGGCTGTGACAGGAGAACTGTTGTGGACCAACGCCGATAACAAGCAAAGGCAAAGCATTTTTAGCCACCAAGGTTACTGAGCCATGTGTACACCCTGGGCAGCACGGCTCTGTTTCAAGCTTCAGACCTGTAGGACGAGTCCCAAAAAAACAAAAATACAAGATGCCACATTTTGACCTCTTTCCATTTCAACCTACCTTTCTCAAGTCACAAACAGCAACCGGGCTTGTCTTTCAGCACCTGGCCCCTGCCCAGATGTCAAACTCCCACCACAGCCCTCTTTATGGGGAGGAGGAAAGCGTCCAGCCCGCGGCTGGAGCAGACCTCCACTGTGACGGTCCCCAGGCCGCTTCTGCTGCCAGGTGAGTTAAAAGTAAAGTTCTGATTTCATCACAAAACCAACAGCACTTCAACCCTGCTGAGCATGAGAGCTCCCAACATCCGTGGGTCAGAGCTGTGCCAGGATGAAACAAACCCATTGCACTGGAACAGGCTCAAGGCAGGAGAGATCCAAATTAAACCCCAATTGTTATTTCACAGAATGGTTGGGTTGGAAGGGACCTTAAAGATGATCGAGTTCCACCCCCTGCCCTGGGCAGGGACACCTCCCACCAGACCAGGTTGCTCCAAGCCCCCTCCAACCTGGCCTTGAACCCCTCCAGGGATGGGGCAGCCACAGCTTCTCTGGGCAACCTGGGCCAGGCTCTCACCACCCTCACACCAAACAAATTCTTTCCAGTATCTAATATAAATCTCCCCTCTTCCAATTTAAAACCGTTACCCCTTGTTCCGTCATTTACACCCAGTGACGTGATTATTTAAAACCCCCTCTGCGTTTTCCCTGCCACAGCTGTTCTTCACTTCAAAAAACCCAACAAACCGGTGGAGGGAACCGTTTTACCAGCCCCTATGGGGTGAAGCGGCTGGCGGTCTGGGGGGGACCGCGGCCCCGGAAAGGGCGGCGCGGCCCCGCCCACAGCGGCGACAGCGACGCGACGGGGCCCGCACCGGGGGCCACGGCCACAAGACCCCCCTCAGGGCCCCCGCCGCTCACCTGCAGCCGGACGTTGAGCATCATGGAGGCGACGATGTAGAGGTAAGGGAAGTTAATGCGGAGCTTCCAGGCCAGTTCGAAGAAGATGAGGAGGGTGCGGGTCAAGCCTTTACAGAAGACGCCGTAAGAACGGGCGGCGGCCGACCGGGACAGCCGGGCAGCCAGGGCGGACAGGCCGCTCAGCGCCGCCGCCATAAACCCCAACGCGGCCCCGCCGCCGCCGCCGGGGCGGGAGGAAGCCCCCGACGCCGTACGTTACGGCCTTACGTCACGCCCCGACGCCGTGCGTCACGGCTTTACGTCACGCCCTGACGCCGTGCGTCGGGCTCAGGCGGGAGTGGCTCCCCCCCGCCCGCGGGACCGGGCTGAGGCGGGAGCGGCGGCGGCCGCAGTGTTACTGCAAATCAGCAGATAAAACTTGGTAAGACTCAAAGCTTAGAAAGCAGGCATACTTTATTGTGGTGCCAGGTGCACAGGGGATAGCTCCTCCTATTGTGCACACCGAATGCTGTCGTCAAATTAAATTTATACACAACAGGTATCTATATTCAATGTAATTCCAAGAAAACATCAGCATATTACATTTCCAGTGATTCATTTACATATTATAATAAGCTTTCGGGCATGCGTAGCTGTGCCTTCTGGTGGTCCTCATTGTGAGTGAGGGTCATTTCTTCCTCCGTCTTCTTCACCTGTCCTTTGGCTCACTTTTCATGTTGGCAAAACATTGTAAATGCTTAATTGCTCATTAAAACTAATTATCTCTCTGCTATCACCTGTTTGTCAGACAATGTCCGTATTTATTGCATCCCTGTCTTAGGTCACCATGTTCTCAGGGCCGCGTACATCCTTTCTTACCTTACTAAATCCTTGAAACCATTTGGGATGGTTGCTAAAATAGCTACATTTCTTCTCTAAAAGAAGATTCTCTACAGTTTAAATATTTATAAACTACATAATATCTGCCTTAGGTATCAGTACCTGTTAAGAAAATAAGTAATTTTCATCTGAAAACAATGGCTAGATTTTGATAATTTAATTCCTTTTAAAGATTTGCAAATTAAGTTCTTTTTTTCTTCAGTGCTTCTGAAGTTTACAGCAAGTAAAACTACCTGAATATTAAAGACAAACTCCTAAAAAATAGGGCGATCATTTTTTTCTTCAGTGTGCCACATATGCTTCAGACTTAGACGCATGGTGCTGAGGGACATGGTTTTGTGATGGTTTTTATCAGAGTTAGATTGATGGTTGGACTAGATCATCTTAAAGGTCCCTTCCAACCTAGACAGTTCTATGATTCTACGATTCCCCCCCCCCCGCCCCGAACTGCTCTGTAGAGTTCCTATTCAATCAACTATAAAATGAAACAGAAAGATCAGTATTTTCATCTGAAATGCCTGAAAGTTACCACCCCCAAAAGCATTTAAAATTTGTGTAGAGCTGGTGCTGATGGACATGGTTTAGAGGTACATCGGCAGTGCTGGGCTAATGGCTGGACTCAATAATCTTAAAGGTCTTTTCCAATCCAAATGATTCTGTAAAATGCTATTTTATTGCCACAGAATCCCGCTGGTGTGCAGAGAAATAGTAATTCCAGAATAAAACCACACACCTTACCTGCAGTTAGGCCTGTTATCCATGTTATCCATCAAGTTCATGCAGAAGCTTCTGATTCCACAGTGTCCTAACCTCTGTCACAAAGTTCTCCAAAGGCACAGTGCTCCTGCAAGCAGTGAGCAATATAGGCAGCAGTGGTGTGTGGTGTCCTCCCTTTTGGGTTAGCTCAGCATGGCTGGTTTGTGAAGACAGCGGCGCTATCCTTTTTCCTCCTCATCTGAAGTTTTTGATAACCCTGCTGGTACTGGAGGCAGAGGATCCAAGACGTGTCCAGGACCTGTACTGGGATTACAAGGTAATTTGCATTTCCTGTCGTCTCTATCCCCTTCCCCATTCTGTGTACTGAGATCATCTTCTCACCAGCTAAGCACAAATGTCATTTAGCCACCAAGGGACATTTAGCAGCTTTCCGCGTTTAAATTGGAATGCAATGTGGCACACAAAGGTTAAATCAGGAAGCTAATTAACTTTTGTATGTATCAGTAGTTATCTGCCAGATTCTTATTAGTTCTGGCTCATGTTGCAGATGGAAGATGTGACGTGATATTAATTTTTAAATCTTGATTAACTGTAAATTACCTTTTACACTAAAATAGGCAATATAATTAATAAATTAGGTCATAATATCAAGTTAGCATCGGTATTGATTTGGATCTAATTATTTAATTCAGTAGTGAGATTGATAAAACACTCTTTAGCTTTCCAATGCAGAAAGTAGCAGATAATGCAATTGAATACCAATTTAAGAGATTCACCAGCTTTTGTCACATCAAGATTTGGAAATCAGCTAATTATTTTTAACAGTAAAACTAAACCTCAAAACCATCCCACACTTCCTCATCTTATTTTGGGAAGTCTTCCTCACAAAAATTGTTACTTAGCAACTTATCAGCATACAGGCATGGGGAGGGGAGAACATGTTTTCCATACCATTTCTATATTTTATTTATGCTAAAATAAGCTATTTTGGACTTATTTATTATATTTATTCCTCTTGTAAGTTCTTCTGAATGTCTACAAATGGTTCCAGTGAGGAATAGATTCCAGAATATATCATTACTTTTTGACAGTTGTCTTATTTCTGTAATAAATGCACATTTCTGTTCCAAATGCTCACCGTGCTATATGAGGAACCATAATTTTAATTTCTGGATTTGATGGAATGCGTTTTGTGAAGCTCCCTGGTTATTGTCTGGCTCTGCATTCCCGGAGAGGCTGTTGGCTGGGGTGTGAGTCACAGCTATGCGGCACACCAGAGGGGAGCGGGCTTCTGTCTGTCCTTGGGCACACTGAAGCCACACGAAGGCTTGGTCCTCCCAGGTCCCAGCTCTGCTGAAGCATTTCTGCAAGCCTGGGGTGAAAGAAACACTGCATCTGTCTAAGGAAATCAAGTGGCCAGGCCAAAGCTCGTAGCCTTCAGTCTTTATTAGAAAATGGTTGGACAGTGGAAGGCAGTAAAACGGTAATAGTGAATGGGCTTCTGTAATGGTTAAGCCTTTTTCCTTAACATTTTAACACTAATTTCTGTGAAATGCTTGGTATCAAGACAGGTAGAAGTTGAGGGGAACCTGCAGCTTACACATCTCTGTACTTCAGCAACTCCTCACCTTGGGGAATGATGTGATCCTTACAGTTATAAAAAAGGCTTATTCCCATATTTCTGCTGAGGGACTTACAGCTCAGGTCCTTGAGGACCTGAGGAGGCTCAGGTCCTTGTTTATAAATTTACAATGATGTCTCTATTCCGGAAAGCTTGCAGCCCTGTACAGGGATTACTGTATGCAGTCCTGCTGCCTTCAACAACAGCTCGCACTGTAGTAAGCGTGGTCTGTTACTGTCTGCTAAACCTGAGGGTAGACAGAAGTGAATGCAAAGCCTTATGTAGATTTTATAACTGAAATTCTTGACAGAAGAGATATTTATCAGAAGCTACCTAAACAAAATACAGGACTTGTTTCGGTTGTATATGTATATCAGCTAAATCATCTATGCTAATATCATATGAATGTGATGCATTTATTTTACAATGCTTCATTATTAATGTAGAGATTTATATACTATCATTTAATTTTTGTGCTCCTTTAATCTGTTCTCTCTGATGCAGCAAATGCTGACATTTAAACGTTGTAGTTCCTTTTTTATTGCTGGCTTTGGTTCCTCTAGCACAGACTGAATACTATATTTGAACACCGTACATATCACATGCTGGTACAGGGTTTTTTTCAACGCTCAGGAGACTAATCATGCCAGAAATGTCTGCCTGGATTATCTAGAAATTGCAGGCCATTACTTGTGGATTATATTCTTTTCTAACATGAATTTTGTCACGGTATTTCCCCAACTTCAGTGAAGATACTCTGAATTTCCTCCACAGCGATAGTATCACCTTCCCAATTAAAACTCTATTAGCTCTGTTAGATTGATGAGGACATATAACTTAAAGAATTCAAATATCATTAACAAAAAAACCTTCAGACTCTCGGGAAGTGTGATAGATGTAAATATTTAAATTCTAGCTGCCATCCAGACAGCTTCAGTAAGTCCTACTATCCCAGTTTAAAGTGGGAAGGCAGAGGGGCTCAGGGCACCACAGGTCACAAAGGCAGAGAACTCCACAAGTGGAACTGGAGTCTGGAAAGGAAATTTAGCTGCTTAGTGCTGTGCATTAAGATTTATTTCTACCAGTTACTACATCCCTCATACTACATCATTAATCACCTGACTTTTACCTAGCAACTCGAATTAGGATAAAATCAAGGCTTAAGTACAATTTTTAAAGACAATTCTCTTAGCGATTTTAAGATGAAAAAGCATCTGGAAATCCTGTTTTTCTCCAATAAGAGAAATCTCTCTTCAGCTTTTTTGGGTGGGATTTTTTTTTGCTTCTAATTTTAATACAAATACCTAGAGAGAGAGTGCTGAATACACTGAATATTCACCCCCTGACACTTTGTGATACTCCTTTGCTTCACGTAAAATTGGCTCTTGCACATCAGTCCAGCCCGAGTGTCAAGTGCCTGTGAATTACGGTTACAGCTTTTTGCCCCTAAAATGGCTTTTATGCTATGGATAAGGACAGACTTTTACTTTTGACCTCGATACTGTGTCGTGCTGTTTCCTGAGGAGAAGTGAGCAGAACTTGTGGCAGCAGGAAGTGCCACCAGGAGTCAGAGAATACACCTACGAGTGAATCACGCTGGGTGTTCTGTTTGTTCCACTGACGTGTTTCCCTGCGCGTACACTCTGTATGCTGGTACTTCTCTGCTTCTCTCTGAATTTGTTTGTGGCTTTACTAATGAACTAACATGTGAAATCCCACAGTAATAGTTTGGAATGAAAGCTACTATAAAAGCGCAAATAATTATTGTCTCTGTAATGCTGATAGTCTGTGTCATGGTGAGTAGAACTTTCCAGCATTGCATCAGCACGATTACCCTGCCACTCCCCATCCACAAAGGGGAATAATCCTCCTCCAGCACCAGCACATACACAATACACACATTCAGACAGTTTCCGAGACAATTTTAAATAATTATTTCCTCTCAATGTCTAAGAAAAAGACTTTCAAGGATTGTAATGCATGAGAGAAGACAAGGTGATAGATTGTGGAACAATATTAGGACTGATCTAAGCCTCAACTTTATGATTCATTATCTTTAAGCTTTATAATTGGTTATTGTTACTGCCATTAATTTTTTTTTTTTTTACATACTCCTCTGCGTAGTGCATTTATAACTATTCTGTATACAACTCGGCACCGCACTCGTGGCTACCAAACTGATAATTTTTCTATTAAGGAGCTAGTTATTAACTTCTCATTCCTCTGCCCTGTCTTTCATGCTGTTCTCTTAAGTTTCTTTCCTTTTATCAAACTAATGTTTCAATATGTTCCCTGTGTCTGTCTCCTCTCATCCTCAGGGGAAAAAACCATATCCGCAAAGAGTGTTAAGCATTTGTAGCATCATGTAAGTTATTTGTTTCTCTTTAAAAGCAAATGTACATTCTAGTTAAGCAAAAAATGCAAGAATAAAGTAAAATGTAGCTGATATATAGTGTGTTTAATAATAGAATAATATACACATCATGTAGTCTAAGGATCATAGACTTAGGTAATAATTTGTCTTCCAGGGCAAATAACAAATAGTTACCTTAATAGAGATACCAACTAGCATTTCAAGTGCAAAATTTCAAACAATTCCAAAAGGCTTCTTTTTATCCTCTTTGAGGAAATAGAGATTTACAAACACATGGGGAAAGCATTGTATAAATCTGTTACCGTCATCATCTATCCAAACTTGAATATTGTTTTTAATGACTAACAGTAAATATTTATCTAGGTATTTTCTAATGTTGGCAATTACCCAGTTGGGTATAAAATTGTCAATCTGAAATGTATTCGAAGCATACCTTCTGCTTTAACTGGAGTTCTTTTTTGACAATGCAAAACAATTGATCCCAAAGGAACAGACTGAAGGAACACTGAAAAGAACATATATAGAAAGATATCGCTGGTCTCATGGCAAGGTCGTAAAAGCCATTTGTGCTAATGTGTTTTCTCTATTATAGCCTTCATCCTTGTCTTTGTATGCTATTTTGTAATAATATTGTAAATTTTGTTGTACCTCTTTTTCATGTAGAAAACTCCAATCGTCCACCTGATTCAGACTGGATAAAAAAGAACTGGTGGAGGAATAGGTAGGTGTTAGGAAAATCAGCAGCAGTTTTACATGTCACGTGAATCTCTGCATGTTCTGGGTCTCCCCAGGACCATGCCATCAATTCAACAGCTTCCCATCTGCTCTGTTCCCGTGCAGCATCTCGGTGGCCCCTGGAGCTGCTGCAGAGCCCAGTGCGTTGGATCCCTGCGGTGCTGCCCACTCTGCGCGACGGTGCCCGTGCTGGGCAGGGAACAACGGCCAGGCCTTGGCAGCAGCAGAGCCTTGGCTTTAAGGTATTTAGTGTAAATGACAAGTCATTTCAGCTTCCAACTGTATGGGGGAGTGTGGACATGCAAGTGTTGCAAAAATAGCCTTTCGGTTCACTGACGGTTGATGTTTTTCTCACTGGTGTGAAATATCTGAGAATTATCTTTGTTCAGTGCAAGAAAAATGGAAGAGAGTAAATATAATGGCATGCTCTGTCCACCGATGAGGTTGCGTTGTGTGGTATCAAAATAATTCAGAAATGTTCCAAATGAATCAAAGATGCAGTCACCGGGAAGCCCATGATGGTGTGCTGTATCCATTCCAGCCAGTCCTCACCCCTCAGTAGCAGCTGGTGCCAGGCCCAGCAGAGGAGAGAGCAGCCAGTGCCTCAGGCCGAGAGCCTACTCCGCCAAGCAGAACTGTGTAAGAACTAACTGCCGGAATTAAAAGGCTCCTGGGTTCATAGAACCTGCTCTGCTTGACTTTTACTTCAATAGTAACTGAAAATAGCTTGTTGCGTAGGGAAAAAGCACCAAGGCTCTGTGCAGCCTGGCAGCCCCTGGCTCGGCCTGTCTTGTGAAGACTCTGCACTGGTCTGGTTTAAAGCTTGCCAGCAGTTAATTAATGTCATGGCGCAGCAGGAGGATCCCTGGAAGAAGGGACCCGTCTCTGCAGGATGCTGGCACCTGGGCGAGGGTCTGTCCCGCGGCGGGGCTGGCTGGGGAGAACGGCAACGCCTCGGGACAGTGTGGGCTGTCCCGGGTGACTGGGGCTGCACCCGCCTGGCACGGTTTTTTCCCCAGTCTGCGGGGAAAATGCAATTCACCATCGCGGCGCGGCGACGGCAGGGCCGGCGCGGGGCCCTGACTCCCCTCCACGGGCAGCCGCTGGCCAGAAATGGCGGCGCGGCCTGCACACCGCAGCCAGCCCTGCTCGCAGCGCCGGGCTCTCGTTCCCCTCAGCAGCGCCAGCGCCTGACGCCGCATTCCGGCAGGGCCCTGACCGAGTAACGGGGAAAAGGGATCAGCCCGGGGCCTACGGGGCCCGAGGCGGCTCCAGACGGAGGAGCCCCGCCAATGCCGAGCTAGGGTGGCAGCTCCAGCATGGCGGCCGCCCCCGCTGGGCGAGAAGCGCTGCCGAACGCAGCCGATGGCAGCCGATGCCGCCCGAAGCGCTCCCGGCGCGACGGAGAAACCCGAGTGGCGCCGAGGCGGCCCCGTGAGGGCGGGGCGGCGGGGCCGAGCGGCCCGGCCGGATGTGAGCGGGGCGGCCGCTTCCTGCTGCCCGCAGTACCCCTTCTCGCGCTTCGGGTGGTGCCGCTGCCGCGTCCCGCTGCCGGCGCAGGGCGGAGGCGGCCGCGACCCGCTGCCGAGACCGCCGCCGGCTCGCTCCTTGCGCGGCCCTCCGCCCCCCCTGCCCGCCTCCCGCTCCGCTCTGCTGCAGGAGCCGCCGCGCCGCCGCGA